GAGAGAGACATGATATGCGCTAAAAAAAAATAGACATGATGTGCAAATTTTGATATATATGTAATTAATTATGTAAACATTGTACCTCATGTTTACTTTTAATCAATTTATTTATATTGACAAAAAATGATTCACAAATCACAATGATGGATCTTGTTGTTAAATTATTTAACTAAAAATTATATTAAAGTAGATTAGGACCGTCTGATGTGTGGGTTTTAAATTTTTTTAATTACATTCTTTGAAAATATATATATATATATATATATAATCTTTAAGTTAGAGAAGATAATTATATATATATACATACATATATATATATATATATATATATATATATATATATATATATATTCTTCAATTCAAAAAAAATGTTATTTATATGTTCGTTTTGCTTTAACTTATTTGCAACTTTATATTTTAAATTTATTGTAAGATTTATTACAATAAACTATTACATTTAAATTACCAATCTTCAAATCTTTTGCCATATATTCATCATTATTTTTATTGTCAAATCTCGAGAACGTAGTTTAGCAATTTCGCGTAAATGATTCTACTACTTGAGAAACTGTTTTACATGCAAATCATCGGTAAGCTTATTTCAATCCATTTACAAATCTACTATCTACATTACAACTAAAAAATGTATCTATGAACACATTAAGCCTATCCATTTCAATCCAATCATATTTTACTATTGAAATATGTTTTCTATCACCACCTACAAAATGTATCTATGAACACATTAATCCAATTATATGTCTTATTTTTTTATGTCCAACTATATGTCTCTTCATTTGTACTTTTGCATGGTTTCTTTAACCACTAAATTTTTTGAGTTAAAGAATATTTTGAATAAAAAATTATATCATATAGCAATAATTTATGATGTATTTATAAAAAATTAAAATAAATAAAAACTATTTGATTAGAATGCGTTTATGACCAACCAATAAACTAAAAGTTGAGAAATTAAAAGAAATTAATTTGACATAACTAAAAAGAATAGAAAACTATAAACACGATAATATATGAGTCTTAGATAATTCAAAGATAGAAATATAAATTAAAATAAACAATCTAAAAATTCAACCATTAAATTATAAATATTAGGAAAATAAATAGCATATATTGATCTTACCTACTAACTATAAAAGAAAATTCAAAAATATAAAAAAATTATTTTAAATCAACAAAAAATTGAAATATATAATGTAACTACTAACTTTGAAAATCAAACTTTATCTAATAAGATTATAAAGTATTATATACTCATAATTTAATCTAATATTTTTAGGTTGAATTCTCTTTTTTTTTTGTCTTTAAAGCAAAAAAAAAATTATGAGTATTCCTCTTGGATCTTTTTCTTTCGGTTTGTTAGCTGCTAAAGTTTACCGTGACGGAGGCGCCCTCTATGGAGACGATGGCAAGTGTTTTGGGATGCATTGCTTTCAAACCACTTTTATAATATTTATACTATTACGAAGTTCACTAACACAACAAAATATTTTATATTTTTAAAATCTATATAACGATTTCTATAAAAATATCTCTACACGTATGTGGATTCAGATCTAATATACTAAAATATATATCATAAAAAGTTAAAAACAACAAAATAATCTATACTGAATTAAAATTTGTTAGAAATTTTTTAAAATATGAAACCCCGCACGTACGTGCGGGTCATGATCTAGTATCTATCTATGTGAGTTGAGAAGAAAAAAATTCGGGATGAGAGAGAGAAAAGATATAAGAATAAGAGATGCTATGGAAACTAATATCGATGTGGAGAGAGAGACATGATATGCGCTGAAAAAAAATAGACATGATGTGCAAATTTTGATCTATATGTAATTAATTATGTAAACATTGTACCTCATGTTTACTTTTAATCAATTTATTTATATTGACAAAAAATGATTCGGAAAGCACAATGATGGATCTTGTTGTTAAATTATTTAACTAAAAATTATATTAAAGTAGATTAGGACCGTGTGATGTGTGGGTTTTAAATTTTTTTAATTACATTCTTTGAAAATATATATATATATATATATATATATATATATAATCTTTAAGTTAGAGAAGATAATTATATATATATACATACATATATATATATATATATATATATTCTTCAATTCAAAAAAAATGTTATTTATATGTTCGTTTTGCTTTAACTTATTTGCAACTTTATATTTTAAATTTATTGTAAGATTTATTACAATAAACTAGTACATTTAAATTACCAATCTTCAAATCTTTTGCCATATATTCATCATTATTTTTATTGTCAAATCTCGAGAACGTAGTTTAGCAATTTCGCGTAAATGATTCTACTACTTGAAAAACTGTTTTACATGCAAATCATCGGTAAGCTTATTTCAATCCATTTACAAATCTACTATCTACATTACAACTAAAAAATGTATCTATGAACACATTAAGCCTATCCATTTCAATCCAATCATATTTTACTATTGAAATATGTTTTCTATCACCACCTACAAAATGTATCTATGAACATATTAATCCAATTATATGTCTTATTTTTTTATGTCCAACTATATGTCTCTTCATTTTTACTTTTGCATGGTTTCTTTAACCACTAAATTTTTTGACTTAAAGAATATTTTGAATAAAAAATTATATCATATAGCAATAATTTATGATGTATTTATAAAAAATTAAAATAAATAAAAACTACTTGATTAGAATGCGTTTATGACCAACCAATAAACTAAAAGTTGAGAAATTAAAAGAAATTAATTTGACGTAACTAAAAAGAATAGAAAACTATAAACACGATAATATATGAGTCTTAGATAATTCAAAGATAGAAATATAAATTAAAATAAACAATCTAAAAATTCAACCATTAAATTATAAATATTAGGAAAATAAATAGCATATATTGATCTTACCTACTAACTATAAAAGAAAATTCAAAAATATAAAAAAATTATTTTAAATCAACAAAAAATTAAAATATATAATGTAACTACTAACTTTGAAAATCAAACTTTATCTAATAAGATTATAAAGTATTATATACTCATAATTTAATCTAATATTTTTAGGTTGAATTCTCTTTTTTTTTTTGTCTTTAAAGCAAAAAAAAAATTATGAGTATTCCTCTTGGATCTTTTTCTTTCGGTTTGTTAGCTGCTAAAGTTTACCGTGACGGAGGCGCCCTCTATGGAGACGATGGCAAGTGTTTTGGGATGCATTGCTTTCAAACCACTTTTATAATATTTATACTATTACGAAGTTCACTAACACAACAAAATATTTTATATTTTTAAAATCTATATAACGATTTCTATAAAAATATCTCTACACGTATGTGGATTCAGATCTAATATACTAAAATATATATCATAAAAAGTTAAAAACAACAAAATAATCTATACTGAATTAAAATTTGTTAGAAATTTTTTAAAATATGAAACCCCGCACGTACGTGCGGGTCATGATCTAGTATCTAACTATGTGAGTTGAGAAGAAAAAAATTCGGGATGAGAGAGAGAAAAGATATAAGAATAAGAGATGCTATGGAAACTGATATCGATGTGGAGAGAGAGACATGATATGCGCTGAAAAAAAATAGACATGATGTGCAAATTTTGATCTATATGTAATTAATTATGTAAACATTGTACCTCATGTTTACTTTTAATCAATTTATTTATATTGACAAAAAATGATTCACAAATCACAATGATGGATCTTGTTGTTAAATTATTTAACTAAAAATTATATTAAAGTAGATTAGGACCGTGTGATGTGTGGGTTTTAAATTTATTTAATTACATTCTTTGAAAATATATATATATATATATATATATATATATATATATAATCTTTAAGTTAGAGAAGATAATTATATATATATATACATATATATATATATATATATATTCTTCAATTCAAAAAAATGTTATTTATATGTTCGTTTTGCTTTAACTTATTTGCAACTTTATATTTTAAATTTATTGTAAGATTTATTACAATAAACTAGTACATTTAAATTACCAATCTTCAAATCTTTTGCCATATATTCATCATTATTTTTATTGTCAAATCTCGAGAACGTAGTTTAGCAATTTCGCGTAAATGATTCTACTACTTGAGAAACTGTTTTACATGCAAATCATCGGTAAGCTTATTTCAATCTATTTACAAATCTACTATCTACATTACAACTAAAAAATGTATCTATGAACACATTAAGCCTATCCATTTCAATCCAATCATATTTTACTATTGAAATATGTTTTCTATCACCACCTACAAAATGTATCTATGAACACATTAATCCAATTATATGTCTTATTTTTTATGTCCAACTATATGTCTCTTCATTTTTACTTTTGCATGGTTTCTTTAACCACTAAATTTTTTGACTTAAAGAATATTTTGAATAAAAAATTATATCATATAGCAATAATTTATGATGTAGTTATAAAAATTAAAATAAATAAAAACTACTTGATTAGAATGCGTTTATGACCAACCAATAAACTAAAAGTTGAGAAATTAAAAGAAATTAATTTGACATAACTAAAAAGAACAGAAAACTATAAACACGATAATATATGAGTCTTAGATAATTCAAAGATAGAAATATAAATTAAAATAAACAATCTAAAATTCAACCATTAAATTATAAATATTAGGAAAATAAATAGCATATATTGATCTTACCTACTAACTATAAAAGAAAATTCAAAAATATAAAAAAATTATTTTAAATCAACAAAAAATTGAAATATATAATGTAACTACTAACTTTGAAAATCAAACTTTATCTAATAAGATTATAAAGTATTATATACTCATAATTTAATCTAATATTATTAGGTTGAATTTTTTTTTTGTCTTTAAAGCAAAAAAAAATTATTATTGGGTCGTGCCGAAAACGGACTGCTTCCAAATGGACCGGGCCAGCCCACAGACTAACTCATTTACATATAGGAAACCCTAGGGTTTCTTCTATCCTTTCTTTCTCTAAAAGCCGCCGGCGAGAGAGAGAGCAAAACAAAAGATTGGAAAAGATGAAGACGATTCTTTCTTCTGAGACGATGGATATCCCCGACAGCGTTACCATCAAGGTTCACGCTAAAGTGATCGAAGTCGAAGGACCTCGCGGGAAGCTTGTTCGCGATTTCAAGCATCTCAACCTCGATTTCCAGCTGATCAAGGACCCTGAGACTGGGAAGAAGATGCTTAAGATCGATTCGTGGTTTGGATCACGCAAAACCAGCGCCTCCATCAGAACCGCTCTTAGTCACGTTGATAATCTTATCTCCGGTGTTACCAGAGGTTTCCGATACAAGATGAGGTTCGTGTACGCTCATTTTCCCATCAACGCCTCCATTGGTGGTGATGGCAAGTCCATTGAGATCCGTAATTTCCTTGGCGAGAAGAAGGTTTGGTTCTTTTCTTCATCACTGATTTGATTCTCTCAGCTTCGTGTAGATCTGAAATGTTGGAAGATGATGATTGGTTTCTGAGTTTGCGAATACTGAACTTATTTAGAAATGTGGTTATTGGAATAATAGGTGAGGAAGGTAGAGATGTTGGATGGTGTAACCATTGTTCGATCTGAGAAGGTCAAGGATGAGATTGTTCTTGATGGTAACGATATCGAGCTTGTTTCAAGGTCATGCGCTCTGATCAACCAGGTACTCTCTCTAACTAGCAGAAACCAAAGCGATTAAGAAGTTACTTAGCCAAGTTTGCATTTTCTTGAGACTAAAATGGTTGAGAGATTGTTAGATAGGAGTTATGGTTCAGTGTTTTGTTTATTGTTTGAATTTGGTATCACATTTTGCATAGTAAAATTGCCTTGATTCATCTATGAAGTGAAAATCTATTTACATTATCTAATGGAGTACTTATTGAGAGAACTTGGCCATATTTTCATATTATTTGGGGTCTTAAGCCTTTTAGCATTGTGTTTGAAAGGATTTTTGGTTGATGTTTGAGTTTTGTATTACATTTTAGCGTAGTGAAACCAAAAGGATCGTTTCAGTGATTGATGCCTTGTTGTAATCTTTTTTTGTGATTCTGCAGAAATGTCACGTGAAGAAGAAGGATATCAGGAAGTTCCTTGACGGTATCTATGTTAGCGAGAAAAGCAAGATCGTAGAGGAAGAATGAATGCTCATATCCTCATCTTAGCTCCTATTTCTTGTTTTTTGAATGATAGTTTCGGTTTATGGACCAAATTTACCGGTGTTGCAAAACTCTGGCTATCCCTTGTTCCTTTTTTTGTTTGAGATTTTATTTACTTATGCACAAGTTTTGGAGACAAGTTTTCATATTCTCATTTACCTAATTAAATCATGTTAGTTTGCGATTGTTCTGAATTTGGAAATGTCGGCTGTGTTTTAAAAATTGGTGCTCCAGTCACAGATCTCTAGTCAAGTATCTCGTAATGCTGTTAACAAGCTTAAACCAGAGTTTGAATAAATTGTCCAGAAAGCTAATGAAGCACAACGAGGCCACGAAGGCTATGCACTTCCTTATGCTATTCTCAGGCTTGACTTAGCTGGAAGAGATCTTACCGATGCTTTGATGAAGATCTTGATATAGAGAGGGTACACATTCCCCAAAAATGCTGAGAGAGAAATCTTAAGAGACATTAAGGAGAATCTTTCTTATTTGGCGTTGGTTTATGAGCAGGAGCTTGAGACAGCGAAATCGAGCTCTGCAATTTGAGAAAAGCTATGAGATGCCTGATGGTCAAGTGATCACGATTCCGCTGGCCAGAAGTCCTCTTGTAACCATCGTTTGTCGTAATGAAAGCACTGGGGATTCATGAGACAACTTATAACTCTATCATGAAATGTGATGTCGACATCAGAAAGGACTTGATGGTAACATTGTGCTCAATGGTGGACAAACCATGCTTCCAGGAATTGCTGATCGGATGGGCAGATAGATGGTAACATTGCGGTTTTTGGATTGTTGATTGATGAAATTGGCTTAAGATGAATATCTTTGGTCTTGACTTGTTTTAAGTTTTGTTCCTTAATGTTTGAGAAAAGTGGAAATGGGTGTGTAACTTGTATATCCAAATGTTCTTCTGGTTCTATTGATTGTGTTAAATCTTGAGTTTGAGTTTTCCAAGTCCTTCAAATAACAAAACTGGCTAATTAGTTATTAATTTAAAATTCTGGTCTTGAGTTCTTCATCTATCAAAGATTTTGATGCTTATCAAAACACCCATGAACCATCTCTCTAGATATTCATCTATGTTTAGATAAAAATATCTCTGTATACATGAATATATGTATGTCACGTGTGAAGAATTCTTGTAGCCAGTCGACAAATCTAGCATTGGTCTTGTGGGACATGAAAACCCTGACATTATGCTCGACTTGTCTAGAATACTATGCCCCATTTATTATCCTTTTGTATAGTACTGTATCAATTACAGAAATTGAATAGAACAAGAGCTTAATAATTAATTCTTTGAGTCCAAAGTTATGGGTACCACGTGAATTATTTTACGAATTTTTCTTTCTTATCTTGACCTTTTTTACCTGTAAAGATTCCAATTTTTATAATTTCAGCTACATGGTCATGGAGACATGGCAAAACGAAAAATGAGGCTATTCAGCCTCCAACTTTATCTCAAAATTTATATATTTTCCCTCTCTTTAAGACCACTTCTAAATAATAAGTGTGGTTCTTGGCTTTTTGCTAAAGAACAGACACCAATTGTCCTTTTTTATTACAATAAATTCGGACAAATTTGATTTCTTGTGATGGTGGATCCCTTTTTCTCGTGCTTCGAGCTCCAATAACCTTTTTTTACATTTTTTAAAACATTTTTTACGTTGATTTTTTTTATAAAATTTCCACCACCTTACAAAAGATTTTAGCTTTCTGTGTTACTATAATCAGAAAAAAAAGTTGCAAGTACTCTTTTGCTTCATCTCTATGCAGAAAATGGCGAAAGAGAACAGTAGTCATCACCTTGCGGAAGCAAAGAGAAAGAGACTCACTTGGATTCTTTGTGTAAGTGGACTTTGCATATTGTCTTATGTTCTTGGATCTTGGCAAAACAACACTGTCCCAACTTCTTCCTCTGAGGCTTACTCAAGAATGGGATGTGATGAAACAACTACAACGACTCGGGCTCGGACTACTCAGACTCAAACAAATCCTTCTTCTGATGATAATCTCTCGTCTTTGTCCTCTTCAGAACCAGTTGAGTTAGACTTCGAAAGCCATCACAAACTCGAGCTGAAGATTACGAATCAAACGGTAAAGTATTTCGAGCCATGTGACATGTCTTTGAGTGAGTACACTCCTTGTGAAGATCGAGAGAGAGGAAGAAGATTTGATAGGAACATGATGAAATACAGAGAGAGACATTGTCCTTCTAAAGATGAGCTTCTTTATTGTTTGATTCCTCCTCCACCAAACTACAAGATTCCATTCAAATGGCCTCAAAGTAGAGACTATGCTTGGTATGACAACATCCCACACAAAGAGCTAAGTATTGAGAAAGCTATTCAGAATTGGATTCAAGTCGAAGGTGAAAGATTTAGATTCCCTGGTGGTGGCACAATGTTTCCACGTGGAGCTGATGCTTACATTGATGATATTGCTAGACTCATTCCTCTTACTGATGGAGCCATTAGAACAGCTATTGATACTGGATGTGGTGTAAGTTTATCAATTTCTTATTACTACTTTTTGATGTATCTATCTTTGACTTTTTTTTGATCAAAATGGTTTTATTAGTTTTTTTTTTTTTTTTTTTTTTATAACAACCAATCATTATATTAAAATACGACTTCTTGATTACTTACCAATTGGAATGATAAGAGTTTAATAAATTCGGTATTATTTGGTTGTTTAGGTGGCGAGTTTTGGTGCTTACTTGTTGAAGAGGGATATTGTGGCTATGTCATTTGCTCCAAGAGACACTCATGAAGCTCAAGTTCAATTTGCGTTGGAACGTGGAGTTCCTGCGATTATCGGTATTATGGGATCAAGAAGGCTTCCTTATCCAGCTAGAGCTTTTGATCTTGCTCACTGTTCTCGTTGTTTGATTCCTTGGTTTCAGAACGGTAAATAAAATTTTCTTGATTTTTTTTTTTCATAAGGTTTCTTGATTGTTGTAGTAAATAACCAAAAAAAGAATTGGATGTGTGTAGATGGTTTGTACTTGACCGAAGTAGACCGGGTTTTAAGACCGGGCGGTTATTGGATCCTTTCGGGTCCACCGATCAACTGGAAGAAATACTGGAAAGGCTGGGAAAGATCACAAGAGGATTTAAAGCAAGAGCAAGATTCTATAGAAGATGCAGCAAGAAGTCTTTGTTGGAAGAAAGTTACAGAAAAAGGTGATTTATCAATTTGGCAAAAGCCCATAAATCACATTGAGTGTAACAAACTCAAACGAGTTCACAAATCTCCTCCTCTATGCAGTAAATCAGATCTACCCGATTTTGCTTGGTAACAATCTCAACCCCTCCTAAAAGCTTCATATATATACTCCATTTGTTTTGTATTATTAGATGTTTTATATCAATGCGCATAAATCAAGAAATTCATATATTAACCTTAAATTTTGTTTAAAAACATTTTTAAATGTAGAGTATTTGTAAAAAAAAAAATTCTTAAAACAAAATTTAGAGTTAATATCTAAATTTCGTGATTTATACGCATTCATATAAAACATTTATGCGATTAAACTTGAATTTTGCACCGAAAGTTTTGATACATCCGTTTAGAATAAGATGTTTTAGCAATTTGTTTCTGCCTTTTGTGTCAGTTTTCTATGGAATATTGGCAAAAAAAAAAATCAGAAATAAATTGCTGAAGCATCTTACACTAAACGGAAAATGTATATATTTTCAGAAACTTGATGGTGAATTTTTTGACATAGGTACAAAGACTTGGAATCTTGTGTAACACCATTGCCAGAAGCAAACAGTCCAGACGAATTCGCAGGCGGTGCATTGGAGGATTGGCCTGACCGAGCTTTCGCGGTCCCACCTAGGATAATCCGGGGAACTATACCGGACACCAATGCTGAGAAATTCAGAGAAGACAATGAAGTGTGGAAGGAGAGAATAGCATATTACAAACAGATAATGCCTGAGCTTTCAAAGGGAAGATTCAGGAACATAATGGACATGAATGCTTACCTCGGAGGATTTGCTGCGGCAATGATGAAATATCCATCTTGGGTTATGAATGTGGTTCCTGTGGATGCCGAGAAGCAAACGTTAGGGGTTATTTTTGAACGAGGATTTATAGGGACTTATCAAGATTGGTGTGAAGGATTCTCTACGTATCCAAGAACTTATGATTTGATTCATGCTGGTGGATTGTTCAGCATTTATGAGAACAGGTAAACACCAATGACTAAATTTTAATTGCCTTTACGTTTACATTTAGTGGATAAATCTATACTCTTAAGCATTTTAAGCAAAATTTGTGTGTCCAATAATTTACAAGGCTATAATTAATTTATATGTATATATGTGTTTAAAATATATCATTTAAACTATATGATAAAAAAAAACATGTAGATTTTCGGTAACTTGGGCTCGAAAATATGGACTATCTTTGTTCAAATATTTTTTAGAAAGAAAAGAATATTTGTAATGTTTTTTTCCTTCTTAAAATTCTATAACCAGCCAGAAATTGTGCATTTGCATTTGTGTTTGCGTTCTCACAAACTTGAAATCTGATGTTATTGTTGTTGATGATGAAAGGTGTGATGTGACATTGTTACTACTTGAGATGGATAGAATTTTGAGACCAGAAGGAACCGTGGTGTTTAGAGACACTGTGGAAATGTTGACGAAGATACAAAGCATAACCAATGGAATGAGGTGGAAGAGTCGGATTTTGGATCATGAGAAAGGTCCTTTTAATCCTGAGAAGATCCTTCTCGCTGTAAAATCCTACTGGACCGGTCCTTCTTCTTAGCTAGTTCCAGCTTTCTTGGAACTCTTTACTCTAATCTTCTTTATCTTGTGTGCCTCATCTTAGTCCTTTTTTTTTTTTGACTGTTTGTTTAAAAAGATTTCTATGATTATATAAGAAAATACAGGGAGAATTTCATAGATTTTTTTTCCCCCTTACATGGAAAAGGGAGCATGTTTTATATATGGAACCGAAAAACTTGTGATCGAACAATATTGGCGATAAACCAATAATTAGGCTGTTTTAGCCATAAAGTTGGTATATTGTCTAATAGGCTCTTATATATCTTTTTAAAAACCAATGTTATTTTCCTCTGACGTTTCGCGTGATTTTGGTGACACTATAATTTTTTTTGTTAACCATGGGGGTGATCCGGGCATAGACGTCTGAGTAATCTATTTACCAGATTTTT